TTTACATACACTTTAAGTAACAGAGGTCTTGTCCCTCCCTCAGTATGTGACTGGACAGTAAAAGGCAAAGTAGCACCCTGTTGAACCCCTCTCTCTTTAACTCTGCTCTACTCACTTATCAGCATGCTCCTTACACTGCAATACAACTTATTGGTTCTATTAAAAAATACATTTGAGGATATATTAATAAAAACCGAGCTACATTAATAAGTGTCTTTTATATATTGCTGGAGTTTTGAAGATCTGCACTGTGAAAAGAGTTGAATGGTGCAATTATGTGACATAGTGCTGATGTGCACTACAGGGCTCTGGAAGTTCACTGAGTGTGGCATGACAAACTTGGCATCTTTTTCTTATTTCTTTACACTTATCGCCCTGCTCACACATAGAGTCCTTGACATCATCGAGGAAGTGATAGATGATGTCAGAAGCCTGGAAATAATATCAGTGTAATGAGTAAGGTAAATCTAGCAGAGAAGTCGTCATTTTAGTTATTTATATGACATATGGGAATAACTGGCTAATAAATGACTGAGCCTGGAGTTGGCCATTAAGTGATATCATGCACTGATGTCACTTTCGGGGATGGTAAATTCCTGTTTAGTTTCCCGCAGAGGGGCAGTTGCCTGTGAAGAGCATCCCGCAATTCTATAATGTGGGACAAAAGTCTGATTAGTTTTTCCTCATACCTCTAAAAAATAATTAAACTTAGAAATGTGTTTACTCGACTCAGCAGAAGAAATGCAAAGTTCACAGATCAAAAAAAAAGAATCTGTTTTAGTTTTACTTCAAAGCTTAGCACAAAAAAAAGGGGAAGCTTCTTTGGGTACTAAAGGAAAGTACTTGGTGTGGTCACAAGATGGCATCTTTAATTTCCCTCCAGTCACAGAATCCTTTGTTCATTCCTATCCTGGTATATAATTGTCAAGTCAGCCTTCTGAAGCATGACGGGAAATTTTCTCAGGCGCTTTTCCCACTGCTAATAGCCAAAACAAATCTTCCATGTGATCACCATATGTCTTGAATATACTCCATTTAGAACTTTTTTTTGTTGTTGTATTTTTCACATGGATTTACATTATCTTAAAGAGCAACTCCAGGATTTCCACACATTATCCCAAGACCAAAACGAGCAGTTAACCCTTGGAGTGCGGTAGCCCCACTGCAAGGGTTAACTGCTCGTTTTAGACTAGGGATGCAAACAAAGAAAATATACTTTACCTGATCCCACCTTGCTGCTAATCTGGTGTGCCTAAGCCCTTGCTGATCTTATTACATCTATGCAAGTTGCATTCACCTGTATTAGACGTGAAGATGTCGAGGGACTTTCCACAGTCTGAGTGGAGGGGGAGGGAGGTGAGCGGTCACCTCCGCAGGTTTGAGGATCAAGTGAGTGTATCTTCTTCATTCTGTTTCCTAGACCAAAATGAGCAGTTGACCCTTGCAGTTCAGGGGTGGCCCCACTGAAAAGGTTAACTGTTGAAAAGCCTGTAGATCTGCTTTAACGTGGATAATATGTAAAGTTTTTTTTTTTCTTGGTTCAGAATCTTTCGGATTATGGTGACCGATTTTTATACATATTTTTAAGATTATAAAGCCTTGGGACACTAAAATGTAAATGATTGAGCATAAACCTTTATATGATTTATTGGGAGGACCATATCATGCTCAACCTGTTTATAAGTAATCGGGCAAGTTTGTATTCCTAAGGCACTATTACTGAGTGAGGCAAAAGACTGCTTGTTTGTTGAATTGCAGAAATCTATGATTTATGTCTTGGTGGGGTATTTGTGAGCTTTGACTTTCCCATCTAATTAGAGCTTCTTAAAGTGCAACTGAATCCAAAACTTCTAATTCTGCTCCACTCTATCCAAAACTTAAAAAAAAGAACAGCCATCAGCTTTATATTGTTGTCTGTGTCCCCATTAGGGAGATACACCCCTCTATTTGTCCTGGTGAATGTTATTACTGAAAGTGAAAACAAATACCAAATTCTGGGTTATAATCAGAACAGGAATAGATGGGAAATCCTCAATGAAGCCACTATTTCTGGTGACCCCGCTGACCACCAGGGATTTCCCTTTCTTTAGAGGGATTTCCTCTCATTTCCTGTTGTGGCTATCAGACAAAAAGTGAAAGGAAATCTTCCCAATGGGACACAAATGGTAAAAAAAAAAAAGCTAACGGGTTATAACGGACTATACCCTTACCCTATTCAAAACTAAAAAAAATGTTTTGGCTTCAGTTCTACTGTAAGCTGGCTATATACTGTTATTCTTTTTCTTACTCCGCTCAGGGGGCTGAACAAGAAAGAACTCTTGATTACCCCATCCAGGCTAACAGCTGTTAGCCTGAATGGGGGAATGCCCCAAAACCACGCTATTGGGTAGGTGTGTCGTTGTCAGACTACCCAAAAAGCTGATTCAGCTGATTGGTTGCAGTCCCTGTTCGGCCAAGATTTTTTGCCCCAGCTCCCCCATGAAAAGTCAATTTGAAAAATCGACTTTTGTCGAATGGAGGGTGCCAACAGAGCCAAATCGGCAGCCAACCAGTTTATGGCCAGCTTTAAAGCTAACCTGACAACCATTCTAAACTTTTAAAAGTAAAGGTCCCTCTTAAGAGAAGACAACACTGTGTGCCTGTTATCACCTTATTAGCCAGAAAACATGGCCTTCCCTGGTGTCACTTTGTTACTTAAGGCTGGAATTCCTTGATCTTTCTCTATTAAGTGAGATTGCTTTAGTGGTCACTAAGGGCTTTCTCATAGGACAGAGGGGAAGGGACAGCCCAGAAAACAGGGATGTCAATCAAAGTAAGACTCGTATCAAATGGATGCACAGAAGATGGTATTCTAAATATTAAATAATGTGGTATTTGCTCTGCTTTTAGGTAAGCCATGAGTTTTAATGTTAAAGGTTTAAAAGGTTAAGAAGTTTACATTACAGGTAAAACAACAGAGGCAGTTACAGTAGACCTGAAATATAAAGAGGTCCGTTGTCTTCCATTATATCATTTATGTAGACTATGTGCATTGTGATGGGACAGCTGTCACCATGGGTGCTTCTATGTTACGTGATAAAAAGCAGTTGGACCTTTTGGGAAGGCTGGGGGTACACAGAGTTTGGCACTTTTGACATGTCAGATGTGCTGAGGAGCGTAGCTGTACTTTAGTAACGGAGCTGTGCAGAGGTAGACATGAACATTTTTTGTGATGCTTCACTCATATTTGTGCATCAGCAAAAGCCCTTTGTGGTTTTCTTATCTAATTTCCCAAATATTGGTCTCCTAACACTCTACGCAGCTCACTAAAATAGCACTCTACGCAGCTCACTGATTATGCATTTGCAAACCTCTTTATCTGTGTCCAGACAGAAACCAGCTTTGTGTTTCGGTAGCTCCTTACAGGAAAGTTCTCTCTGGTTCTTATTGAAAGACATCCTCTGGTTCTTATTGAATATAAAGTGGCCATTTAAAGTTACACATTTGGCTGTCATTGTTTTTGAGACGAAGAGAAAAATTAGAATGGTATACCTTTACATTAGCCATTTCCACATGGAAAATGTTTCCCAAATGAAAACATATGTTTGGGAGCCAGCATGATAAACTGAGATGAAGTACCTGAAATTTGGTTTATCATCATCATTTTACTCTAAAGCTGAAGATGGAAACTCTAGCTGTTTTGCCTTTTGAGGTGGGAGGATCATGGTCGGAGATAGTTAGTTGGTTATTCACTTACTTTACTTAGCTAGTTGTTACTTATTGTCATTATGTCACTATATGTATTGTTGATTGACTTTCTACTTGTAGTGTGATGTGATTATTGTTTATTTTCTATGCAAAACTCAATAAACAGAATTTATATATATATATTTTTTAAAATGGAAACTCTGTGTAAGGCTGGGTTCACACCTGGGCGGTGCAAATACGAGCGTTTTATGCTCGTTTTTTCAGCACGTTTTTGCACGTTTTTTTGTTCACTGACGTTTTTTAAACTTTTTAAACTTCCCGCCGGTTCTGCCCCCCTGCGACGCGGACGCTTGCAAGGGACGGAACCCGGAAGACGGCAGCAGCTGGAGGTGATAAAACCTCGAGGATCGCGGACAAGGTAAGACCTACGCTGTATTCCCGAGTGTGGCTGGTGGTTACCACTTTATTAACCCGAACCACACTCGGGAATAACAATGGATACGCGCTGCAATTGGCCCCTACACGCAAAAAAGAAGCTCAAGTACTTTTTCATGCATAGGGCATTTTTCAGCGTGACAAATCGCGCTGAAATACGCCCAGGCGGGAACCATGCCCACAGGAATTCATTGGATTTCACTTCCTGAGCGTTTTTCAGCACTTTGATCAGCGCTGAAAAACGTCCAGGTGTGAACCCAGCCTAAGTCTTCAAATAAAGCAAATCAAAAACAACCTCCAACACCAAGCCATGTAGCCAATAAATGAAAACCTTTTAATCATAGAAGTGTACATTTGCAAATCTATGAGGAAGTGGCATGCCACATTCAAGGTGCCTGAAGTGGCAGTGTTTCTTAACTCCAATCTTTAAGCATGCCTGTAGATCATAATTTTAGGATTTTCTTAATTTTGTACACATGATTTGACTATGGTCCATGGATCAGCTGCTTTCACTGAGGATAATCCTCAAATCACAACTTGATTTTGATAAACAACATTGCGTAGTGCTACTAGTACTATGTGTCTATATAATGAGTCATTGGGTAGTAGTATTATTTGGAAAACAATTAGGCATATAATGAATGTGTACTGTATATGGGGCAGTTTTTATTTGTACTAGAATTAAAGTAGGAGGACTGCCCACATCTATTTAGAGTTTTCATTATGCTATATGTAGATTACTGCTGTACAAGAGCACAGAAATTGTTTTAGAGATTCTAATATGTTAAAAGTAGTACACCTCTATTCTGTATCACTGTCTGTATTATTTCACATCATACATGTTCACACTCTCACTCACACTTATGCTTATTTTACAGAGTATTAGAGTGCCGCGGCCTCCCAATTGTCAATGGCCAATGCGATCCTTATGCTACTGTGACTTTACTTGGGCCAACAAGGTAAGTGTGCAGCACTATACTGCGCATAATGACATTACTTTTTAATAACTCTCTCTGTCAAGCATTTCCAACTGATTGTTTTTTTACATTTATTTAAAAAAAACTATTTCATGTTATAAAAAACACTTAGAATTACCTTTTTATTTCCTTCTATTTTAGTTTTCCTGCATTTTATTATTCCTGTTGTTGTAAGGGTTCAAAACGTTTCCATTTTATGAGCACTCATTGTTTTTACATGCATTTTATAAAACTATTTAAGGCTGTAAAAAACACTTAGGGCCTGTTCACACCATATGGAGTTGTGATGCAGTCAGTTTATTTTAACTGTCTTCAGTCAAAATACATCCCAATGCTTTCCTTTTGGGCTTTCTTGTGCCTAATTCACACCATTGCAGTTGGTTCAGATGCAGTCAGAAAAAGTACTGCTTGTTCTATTTTACCAGCATCTAACTGCACTAAATGCATTAAAACTCAGTGCAAACGCATTAAAACGCAACGGGCTGCATAAAAAAAACCAAAACAGAATGGATTGTGGCATCATCCAGGGACATGCAGGGGAAAAAACGCATCACAAACGCGTCAAAACAGATCGCAATGCAACTGCGCAGACGCACGCAGTTGTGATGCAGTTTCTGGTGTGAACTAACCCTTACAATTACCTTTTTATTTCCTTCTATTTGAGTTTTCTTGCATTTTATTATTCCTGTTTTTGTAAGGGTTTAAAGCATTTCCATTTTATGAACACTGGCACACATGTGCACTGTTGTTCCTACCTTCTGTTGGTGGAAAACACCAGTTTATTCACTTACCATATATTGCAAAGTGGGTGGACTTCTGCTTCTCTGATATGCTGGGGCTCTACAGCTGTGCTTAATGCAAGAAATGTCACCTACTTTGGGTAACATTTAGTGTAATGTTTTGAGATTGCTGTTCTTAGCTGAATCTGCCTGTTTTCTGCAGATCTAGGACCCAGTGCTGTTTTCATGTGACTTGCCTAACGGACAGAAATGGCGTGCACATTTAACACTTTCTTTCTCGCATCAAGTTGGGAGAGATCTGTGTGCCATAAAAAGCACATGGTTTGGAAGAGCTTGTTATGGCCCTTTAGGATAGCCCTAAATCAGGGGTGGGCAGACCCCGGCCCTCCAGCTGTGGTACAACTACAAATCACATGAGGCATTGCAAGACTCTGACAGCCACAGGCATGACTCCCAGAGGCAGATGCATGATGGAATTTGTTGTTTTACCACAGCTGGGGGGTTGGACCCCTGCCCTAAATGTTCCCAACCCCATCCAAGCATCCCATCGCCATTGATAATTATACTGATAAGATATGTAAGTATTCAAGTATTATATAATGTTGCAGTGTGGGAAACAGCAGCTTATACCCTCTAAAATGTCACCATAACATTTTATTGATTATATAACTACAAACATCTGCATTGCTTAGCATTCAGTATAATACATTTGTTTTGTTAAAATGCAGATGATTTCAATAGATTTTTTTTTAATTGCCTGGAATGTACCCTTTTCAGAATTTCTAACAATTCTTATAGTCCCCTGGAAAATATAAACAATGGCATGTTGTGTATTTTGAAATTTTAGATATGTGAAATCTCTGCACAGCTCTCTATGTATGAATATATTTATATCAACTAATTAGGTTTTTTATTACCTACAAGTCTTTACTGTTGAAAATACAATGTCCATCACTTCTGTTAGCATATTCCATAATTAGAGATGTTTAAATGGATGCATCCTATCCTTTACTGTAAGTGTATGGCAAAACAAAAACACCTCTGAATGGTATAGAAGTCTATCGCTGTGTGCTATTAATATTTGGTTATTGACACACATGACATACACACGTAAACTCCATATTCATCCCTCTAATTTCAGTCTACATGAGGTTGTCAAATTTGATCAATTCAGCTTTACATGGGATCAGCGGCGTCCCGAGGCTGGGTGACACCCGGAGCGGTAACCGAGTGCCACCCCGCCGAGACGTCACTGCGCATGCGTGTGACGTCACCACGCGCGTGTGCAATGACGTCATCGCGCACGCGCGGCAGTATTCTGATACCTGCCGGCTGCCATCTTGGTGATGGACGCCGGCAGAGAGAGGAGGGGACAGTCACCCGGCGGGATAAGGTATGCCGCCGGGTCCCCTCCTCTCTCCTGATACTGTCGGGCGTTCGGTCCATGACCGAGCGCCCGACGTTTCAGAGGGGGGTGACACCAAAATGACTGTGAGTCATTTTGGTGTCACCCCTCCAATGGTGGCACCTGGGTGCGGGCCGCACCCCCCTTGTGACGCCACTGCATGGGATAACTTTAGTTTTCTCCCTTATGTTTATGTTCAACTAAATGAATCTCATTGGATTTAAGTCATGCTCAGATGTCTGGAGGCCAAAACAATCATAATGTTAAATACATCATTGAATTTTAGTTATATTTAGGTCATTGAAGTCTATAGCCTTTATTTATTAAAAGGATCTAACATGATATAAAATTAGATAAGTAAAAACATGGTTTACTGTTTTCTGTACTGTGTGTGTTTAAATGATAATGTAGTAACATCTTAAAATATATATTGACAGCAACCCCTTACTGGTTATATAATACCTTGTCCAGAGATAAACTGGGACCTTTTTTTGCTCATTGGTTTTGTAAAGGTGCAGATTCTGGGACTGTTATCATCGTCTTTACTTCACCAGATTAAAGGCAGATGTTTTTCTGTTTCATTGAATCTCCTTGTTCATACTAGAATTCCTCCAGGATGCTTATAAAGTATTAACATTACGTGTGAGCTGGGCAGAGCTGTTCAATACTTGTTTGCATTCTCTGCCGATGGAAAGGATCTTCCTTCATGGCTAGAGTCAACCCAGTAACAACTTTACATAGCAGACCTGAATAGGGGTGTACTTCCATGGCTATGTTAGGATTGCTTCCATTTTCAAAAAGGGGAATCTACCAGGTGAGCCTTGAAAGCACCCATATGCTGAATTAGTTGATTCCATGCCTCACATTTCCAGAACCTTCCAAGGACTGTTATGGGGAGTCTTCTTGGTTCATGTATTAAATAAAACTCAGGTAACTAGAAGTGTTTCCCACCATCATTCTAAAATGCTGTGTTGTGTTTATCAGTATCTGGTTTATGCTTTTTTATACAGTATATTTTAATAGCTATGGGCTGCTCTTCTTGGATGTACTACTGCTATAGTTTTAGTAATGTGCTGGCATAATATGACATCAGTCTCTCTTCCCCTGTGTTTTTCTTGTCATTTAGGACTGAGTCAAAGAAAACTAAAGTCAAGAAGAAGACTATCAACCCACAATTTGATGAAGTGTTTTATTTTGAGGTTGGTATTTATGTGGGTGGGGTGACGAGATGAAATCCCATAGCCTCAAATGTTTAGAAGCCTACACATGTGAATTACCAACTGTCATCTTTTGAAATATGAAACTATAAATTGCTGAGATCTGCTCAGCAGGCACTGCTGAGGTAGTTTCCTATTTGGCTCCCCTTGTAACAGACAATCCTGCAGTGAACTAGACCTCTTTATTTTCTCCCAACATCATTCTTAAGTATACAAAAGTTTATTCAATGTGTATTGTAACAGCGTGGCTGAGAAAATATATACACTAATTACAAATGTCTGAAAGTTGGTTATTTGCATGTCTGGTTTTTGGATCTCTTCTACTTTTCTGATTTGTAAAGATCAGTTAATTTATATGTTGATATTTAACTACATTTAGCTACATACCTGGAAGATGCTACTGCTGAGAACCCAGGCTTTATAATGTATAGATTGGAATAAAACACTTTACCTCTAAGACCCCATTCACACGTAGCGACATACCTTTTGCAGCGGATCCACATGGCCGGGATAGCGCGACTTTCGGGGCGACGTTCCAGCGACGATCCAGCGACAGTAGCGCGACCTTCTCCGTCGGGCTCCATAGAAAAAGGGCAAAATCGCGCAAAATCCGCCGAAAAAAGGGTCCGGTAGAAGCGACTTGCGACCGCGACGCGCAACATGGAGTTAAGACAGCTCCATTGAATAGCATTGGCCGGCGACTTCTCGCGATATCGCGTGGCAAAAATGCGCGATATCGCGGTGGAAATCGCGCGATAATTCGCTACATGTGAACGGGGTCTAAAGGTGCACTGCAGACTTTTTAACTTGGCTGACTGATTTGGACAAGATGCCGCTTTTCTTCCATGCCTGAAAATGGTCCTCTTGCTAACATGTAAATTGGGCAGAGCTGTTCAATACTTGTTTGCATTCTCTGCCGATGGAAAGGATCTTCCTTCATGGCTAGAGTCAACCCAGTAACAACTTTACATAGCAGACCTGAATAGGGGTGTACTTCCATGGCTATGTTAGGATTGCTTCCATTTTCAAAAAGGGGAATCTACCAGGTGAGCCTTGAAAGCACCCATATGCTGAATTAGTTGATTCCATGCCTCACATTTCCAGAACCTTCCAAGGACTGTTATGGGGAGTCTTCTTGGTTCATGTATTAAATAAAACTCAGGTAACTAGAAGTGTTTCCCACCATCATTCTAAAATGCTGTGTTGTGTTTATCAGTATCTGGTTTATGCTTTTTTATACAGTATATTTTAATAGCTATGGGCTGCTCTTCTTGGATGTACTACTGCTATAGTTTTAGTAATGTGCTGGCATAATATGACATCAGTCTCTCTTCCCCTGTGTTTTTCTTGTCATTTAGGACTGAGTCAAAGAAAACTAAAGTCAAGAAGAAGACTATCAACCCACAATTTGATGAAGTGTTTTATTTTGAGGTTGGTATTTATGTGGGTGGGGTGACGAGATGAAATCCCATAGCCTCAAATGTTTAGAAGCCTACACATGTGAATTACCAACTGTCATCTTTTGAAATATGAAACTATAAATTGCTGAGATCTGCTCAGCAGGCACTGCTGAGGTAGTTTCCTATTTGGCTCCCCTTGTAACAGACAATCCTGCAGTGAACTAGACCTCTTTATTTTCTCCCAACATCATTCTTAAGTATACAAAAGTTTATTCAATGTGTATTGTAACAGCGTGGCTGAGAAAATATATACACTAATTACAAATGTCTGAAAGTTGGTTATTTGCATGTCTGGTTTTTGGATCTCTTCTACTTTTCTGATTTGTAAAGATCAGTTAATTTATATGTTGATATTTAACTACATTTAGCTACATACCTGGAAGATGCTACTGCTGAGAACCCAGGCTTTATAATGTATAGATTGGAATAAAACACTTTACCTCTAAGACCCCATTCACACGTAGCGACATACCTTTTGCAGCGGATCCACATGGCCGGGATAGCGCGACTTTCGGGGCGACGTTCCAGCGACGATCCAGCGACAGTAGCGCGACCTTCTCCGTCGGGCTCCATAGAAAAAGGGCAAAATCGCGCAAAATCCGCCGAAAAAAGGGTCCGGTAGAAGCGACTTGCGACCGCGACGCGCAACATGGAGTTAAGACAGCTCCATTGAATAGCATTGGCCGGCGACTTCTCGCGATATCGCGTGGCAAAAATGCGCGATATCGCGGTGGAAATCGCGCGATAATTCGCTACATGTGAACGGGGTCTAAAGGTGCACTGCAGACTTTTTAACTTGGCTGACTGATTTGGACAAGATGCCGCTTTTCTTCCATGCCTGAAAATGGTCCTCTTGCTAACATGTAAATAATTATGGAGGAATTTGATCAGGCTTTGATCACTGTGGCAACCTGTGCTCTGGTCTAAATTAAATCTGTTAGGAGCCTTTAATAAAGGAGCTGCCGTAATTTCCAGTTATAATAGTGTATCAAACTGATAGCTCTCCAAGCCCTGAAACCCTGATTGCTCTCCAACCCATAACAACATGATAACTCTCCAAGCCCTGACAGCTCTCCAACCCCTGACACCCTGAGAGCTCCCCAACCCCTAACATCATAATAGATCTTTGACCATCTGACATCCTTATAGCTATCTAACCCCCAACACCCTGATAGTTCTCTGACACCATGATAGCTCTTTGACCCCTTACTACGATTGCTGTCTGATCATCTGACATCCTGATTGCTCTCTTACCCTGATAGTCAATTACCAGCGCCCTGTCCATACATTAGGATGACTAATGGAAGCTCAGTGAAGCATTAAGGACTGCAAAGCAATCCTGGGCTCTGTTAAAGTGGCCACCACAGTACCAATGTTAAATGAAACATATCTGCTAATACCTGATTGAATTTAGGATGCCAGGACTGTAAAAGAGGGAGTTTTTTTTATATTATCACTTTACATGTCATGGTTTAAAATCTTTTACAAAGTGACTTTAGTTTTTAGCAATTTTTAACATTGTGGGTTTGATACTGAACCTTCTCAGCCACATCACCAATAATTAAAACTAGGCTGGGCTTATTGGCTACATTGCAATATTATGATGTGGTAGTTAGAATTTGTTTATTATACATTGATAAAATGTGCAGAATAAGCATCTGCTCTTGTAGATCAACTTCTTCCTGTCACCTATTTTGTGTTTACTTTTCTGACTCATTGGCATATGTGTTTGTGGAGTGGGTGGGGCATGGGACAAAAATATCTTAAGACAACAAACTTGTGTTACTACGTCTATGGACTTGGACTTTCCTGTTTAGAGCAAATGGATGGTTGCTTTTGGTTATAACACGTCTGTGACAAGTAAATTGTAATATTGTTGGTGTTTTGGAAATGTTCATGTTGATTATACTCAACCTTTAAGATTTTGAGGACCAGAATTATGTATTATTATCTGTAAATGTACTGGTTTTTTTTTATATATTTCATTTTCTTTATATTTATTTTTGCCAGGTGACCAAGCCAAGTAGTTACAATAAGAAGTCTCATTTTGAAATAGAAGAAGACGACGTAGACAAAATGGAGATTAGGTAATAAATAAATATATGTCATACAGTATTCAAGCTTTCTATGATGCACAGCCTGATCTTTCAGTTTTTCCATATTCATAATGAAAGCAACACAGATTCATCAAGGACATCCCCAGCCTGTGATTGGATAATGAAGCAATAACATACTGATAAGGCAGCTCCCTGCTCACTGTGTAATGTTGTAAAGCTTGATTGGCTTACAGTGTTGCTACTTTTTCTCCCAGTTTGAATCATGCTCTTCAGGGAACTGTAATAGAATAACAATGGACAAACTGAAGGACTATTTAAAATACATCTAAGGATTCTCTTAATAAATATATACCAATATTTGATGAGGCTGTTTTAAATCTGTATTCTTTTCTGCTTTAAGACAGACCCGAGACACCCACAATCTGTAGACTAAGAAATCACTGAGACCACGCTGTCCTTGATAGCTCCCGGTCTCATATAAATGATTAGGAACCAATCAGTGTCGTTCCTGATCAACTGAACACTTACAGTCAGCCAGTAATGCGGATCACATGAAGTCTGGTTACAAACATACCTGACGTTAAATGTTTGTTCCATTATCATCTTTTAACTAGCTGAGAATTGAGGGGTTTACAATCATAACCACCAATTGATCAATATTAGTATCTCTTTAGCTGTGGAACAGTCTTACAAAATAATGAGAAATTGTTTTATTTTACAGACAAATATAGTGATTATGCATAAATAAAGTCATTTCATTTGGTGCCTGGGTATTTGAAATTGACTTGGGTGGGCTACTACTACTTGGATGCATTTCATGTACTTCAAGGTACATTTTAGAATCACTAGTCTGTTCGCAAAACAGCCCTAATGTTTTTATTCAGTTGCCTTCATTTTCAAATATTCAGATCTAGTCAGATAAATATGGTAAAACCTTACTTTTATGGAATACAGTACTTTTGTAATTATAGTCACTTTATAAAGACCACTGAATAGTACTTGCCCTCCCTTTGCCAGAAATACATGTTGATTACATATAATCATATGCTCCATTTAAGTGCATAAAAAGTTGGCTTTGAAGTTCACTGGAGTAAAAAGTACTAGAACATTTCTTGGGTGGGTGGTAGCTTTGTTACATTTTATGGTATTGTTGAAAATATGTCCCAAAAGAAACACTTTGTACCATACAGCATATATCATCTATGCTGTCATTTCTTTTTTAGTCATATTAACTTTGTCTGTCATCAAGAATCTATGCAGCATATGGCTTGATTTTTCACAAATGTGCTTATTGTCATAAGGAAATTACCAGGTTTAATCAAAAGACCTAGAACAGTGTTATCTCCTGACTATGACTATCCACAGTTGACATAATCTATAAGAGAGGTGATGTCAAAGATTGGAACTTTGCCAGCCATCTGTGCTTGCGAGTTTGTACTTGAAGTATTTTATATGTCATGGTTTAAGCTCTTATTTCCCTATTATCAACAACTGTGCAGTGCATTAGAGTCAGATCTGAGTTATGAAATCTGTTATTTTGTTTTTCTTATTTCTCTAATGATGCACATAGAGGGTCATATCTTCGGGTGAACTTGAAATCCTCTCGCCTTCACTGACTTATGGAGAGCTCAGTTCTGTGCTACTCCACCTCAAAGTGAACCTGTTCCCAGACTTTGCACAATAAACTATTTAAAGATTTGCATATTATGAACAGGCAGTCCAAGCATTTTAAAAACACTTTTTTCAATAACGAGTCCAGATGAAACAAATATACATTATCCAGCAAAGCATTTCTTTACATTTTTTGCCCAAGCACTTACAGTCATCATGTTACTGCTGGCTCCAACTCTCTCAGCTCTCTTTCCCTGAACTTCCTGTCCAGTACAAGACCACAAGGGACAGCACAGTCTCCAGCAACTGTCCATCCACTAGTTTGGAACAGGGAGGAAGGAGGAGAGTGGAGCAGGGAGCATGGGGTATTGGCTTGCCATGCTTTGCCTGTGTGTTTATGGAGATACACAACTTACTAGCATTTACAAGGGTGGCTCCATAGTGCCCTGCAAGGGAAATTAGCCACCCTAACACAGGATATCGAGGCCAGTGCTCAGGACACCTGCTTTTTCTATAAGAAGTTAAACCTTTTAGAAATCAAGAAGCAGCATCCTTTCTAAATCATTTAATTAGCATCTAAAATGACTTAAAAACCTTTTGACTTTAATTTGACTTTAAAACAAGCCCTCATTAACCCCTTTAGCTATAATCATTGTGGATAGATTACTCTTCACGGTTCACAACAGAGGCACTGAAATCTTGGCTCTTTTCCTACTACTTCCTAGGACAATGGAAATGTTGCAACCTGCCAGACTTCTTATGTAAACTCATAGCCGATGCTTGCCACCTGTTACTGAAACCGTACTTCAGAGTCTTTGTTGTGACCTCTGAAGATCCTTGAGAATGAATTACTGTAGAGTACATACAACTGGATACGTCAGGGATAGCTTGTTTAAAGGTCTTTACTGCTGGTTAAGACTTTAATGTCCATTGTCTTGGTACAGGTGTTCTTTAAGTTGGTTTCCCGTGAAATTCCACATAATGTGTGGAGCGCTAAAAGATAGAATTTCCAATATTAACTTAATATCTCAAAATTATGGAAGAACCTCCTCCCACCCCCCAAAGAAAAAAATGATACAGTGCCACTGGCCCACAGAACACAAGTCTATTGTCCAAGTTACTGTATGTCTAACGCTAACTACCTTATTTAATATTGCAAGAGCAATGTGCAACATGCTTCAGTCTTTGGCATGACTCATCTCTCATTAGGGTCTGTGTCAACAGGCTTTTTTTTGTATCAGAATTGCTTCTGTCCCCATAGAAGTCTATGGGAATACAAAATCAGCTTAAAGCAGGTCACAAGGAGGTTACCTGCAGGTTAAATGCACCTGTTAACATATTCTGAATGATCTCAGGAGCATCACAAACACAGGCCCATATTGTGGCTAATATAAACAAAGGGCAGATGCAATGTGATTGGGTGCTACAATTTAAATAAATGTTTTCTCTCTCTGAAAATATAATTTGTTAAAATCAACTATGATGTTATTCATGTATTTTATTATTTGCAGAGTTGACCTGTGGAATGCAAGCAACTTAAAATTTGGAGATGAATTTCTTGGAGAGCTTAAAATTCCATTAAAGGTCCTACGACAATCCAGCTGCTATGATGCATGGTATTGCATTTTATTTCTGACATGATGTTTGTTTCCCAGAATTATGTTTTCACTTGACATAAGTCAAGCTTTTTTGTTTTCTTTGCCTTTTCTGTACGTTTAAACATGCAGTAAATCTGTAGCACAATTAGCTTTAGCAACTTGTAAGTTTAGACAAGGAGGCAAAGTAAGATATGAGTAGTTTAGTACACTAAAGATGCCCATACACCTTACGATTATCGGACGAAACTTTTCGTCCGATGATCGAACCGTCGTACGATTTTCCCCATCCTGCCCCGATTATCGAAAGGTTCAATCAGCGGTAGTTAAAAAAAACACCCGGACGACTTGCGGTAGTCGACCACAATTATTTTCGTATGCGCAGTGTTAATCGTACGACTTTTGACGGACGGAAACGCCACTAACCATGCGAACATCGTACGATCGACCAAAGTTTTCAAACATGCTTGACCGTCAAAAGTCGTATGATTGTACAGTACTATCGGTCGGGCACTCTATTCACACGTTACGATTGTCGTACGAATAGTCAATCGCATACGATTATAGATAGAATTTCCAATATTAACTTAATATCTCAAAATTATGGAAGAACCTCCTCCCACCCCCCAAAGAAAAAAATGATACAGTGCCACTGGCCCACAGAACACAAGTCTATTGTCCAAGTTACTGTATGTCTAACGCTAACTACCTTATTTAATATTGCAAGAGCAATGTGCAACATGCTTCAGTCTTTGGCATGACTCATCTCTCATTAGGGTCTGTGTCAACAGGCTTTTTTTTGTATCAGAATTGCTTCTGTCCCCATAGAAGTCTATGGGAATACAAAATCAGCTTAAAGCAGGTCACAAGGAGGTTACCTGCAGGTTAAATGCACCTGTTAACATATTCTGAATGATCTCAGGAGCATCACAAACACAGGCCCATATTGTGGCTAATATAAACAAAGGGCAGATGCAATGTGATTGGGTGCTACAATTTAAATAAATGTTTTCTCTCTCTGAAAATATAATTTGTTAAAATCAACTATGATGTTATTCATGTATTTTATTATTTGCAGAGTTGACCTGTGGAATGCAAGCAACTTAAAATTTGGAGATGAATTTCTTGGAGAGCTTAAAATTCCATTAAAGGTCCTACGACAATCCAGCTGCTATGATGCATGGTATTGCATTTTATTTCTGACATGATGTTTGTTTCCCAGAATTATGTTTTCACTTGACATAAGTCAAGCTTTTTTGTTTTCTTTGCCTTTTCTGTACGTTTAAACATGCAGTAAATCTGTAGCACAATTAGCTTTAGCAACTTGTAAGTTTAGACAAGGAGGCAAAGTAAGATATGAGTAGTTTAGTACACTAAAGATGCCCATACACCTTACGATTATCGGACGAAACTTTTCGTCCGATGATCGAACCGTCGTACGATTTTCCCCATCCTGCCCCGATTATCGAAAGGTTCAATCAGCGGTAGTTAAAAAAAACACCCGGACGACTTGCGGTAGTCGACCACAATTATTTTCGTATGCGCAGTGTTAATCGTACGACTTTTGACGGACGGAAACGCCACTAACCATGCGAACATCGTACGATCGACCAAAGTTTTCAAACATGCTTGACCGTCAAAAGTCGTATGATTGTACAGTACTATCGGTCGGGCACTCTATTCACACGTTACGATTGTCGTACGAATAGTCAATCGCATACGATTATCGTACGATAATCGTAAGGTGTATGGGCACCTTTAGGGGGATATCTGTGAAGAAGGCACTATAACATTCACCAACCATTCACTACAGGTGTATCATAGTGAATATGCTTCAAGTTACAGTGATCGAATCACCTGCAGTGTAAATGTTTGGTAAATGTCACATTTGCACTTCAAGGGAATCATTTTATTAAAGGCTGTCAAATTGTCACACTGTTAATGAAAGTGACATTTGCCAAATACCCACAGCAAGTGAATCTTCCTGGAGCATGAGTTTTAAATTATAAGGATTGATTGATTAACCACCTGCTGGCTGTCACATTTACTGCTTTATAAATACACCTCTGCGTGTTAAATCAGTTAAGAGAAAGAATAGTCAGATCACGTAATAAAATGTAGGTAGGACAATCTTGTTATATAAAGGGATAACTTGTGGTTATGTATTGTTCGCTAGATATATACTGTATACAAGTGTATGTGTGTGTGTGTCTATATATATTTACATATACACATACTGTATACAGTTATAGTTCTATCTACATAATCTTGATATATATTCTAAAATTATAGAAATTATAATATATAATGTATATTTACATATATTATACAAAATACATTGGGTTACTATACATGTAGGGGAATTTATCAAAACTGGAGCAGACAAAGTCTGGAGCAGTTGTGCACGGTGACCAATCAGCTTCTCTCTTTCATTTTCAAATCTTAACTGACCAAACTAAAGAGAGAAGCTGATTGGTACCCATGCACAACTGCTCCAGTTTTGATAAATTCCCCCCATGGTATTGAGGTATTTAGCATTCACGTCATACCCAACCTCTATCTGAATCCTGTGGCCATCATATCACATTGGGGGGTGAATGCCTGCATCCTCTAAATTAGAAGACATTGAGATTACCTTGCAACTTTCTAAGGAGGTGTCTGGTATGATATATAAAACCTTACAACCTTTATGGCATATACACGTGCATATATTTTACTGTGGGAAAACCTGGTGCATGTCATAACTCAATTCATTTCTGTGAGGGTTGGTTCGTCCTTCATTTTTAATAATGTGTGCTGAATAAAACGTGTTATAAATCCACTTGTGGGAAACCTGTGCTGAGTGAAGATCGAGGCTATCATTGCTGACCTCTTTCTAAAAGTGCTAGGTGCCTGGCTGTCACTAGCCTCAATACTTTGAGTCACTTAACCAGAACAAGCATAAAGCAGGGAAGAGGAGAGTCTGAATTTTTCATCTGCATTCTTGTTCTGGGTGAGCGGCTCAGAAAAAAAGGAGGCCTCTGGATAGACAGCAGATAACTGCTATCGACACCCTGTCACCAATTTAAATGCAGTAAACAAAAATCAAGTATTTGAAATGCTTACTTGCAGCCTTTTTCATAAACAAACTTTTATTCACTTGGAATGTGTCTTTACATTTTTTTTTAGCATATTTGACTTCTAGAAGAGTTAATTCCCTTGCACAGCCAATTCTCTCTTTGCATGTATTGCCCTTTCCTCTTCTAGGTAGTGTATAAATAATCCCAGTGCTGTCCCAGCTCTTCCACCCTATCCCTCACCTCCCCACATAATCTTTTTTTGAAGGTATGGGAGAGGACCAAAAGGGAATACTATTGAATGTTGCATAGGTGACAGTTATGAGTGTGCTGGGGGAGGCGTTCATAACATGCATAAAATACATTAAATGCAGTCATAAATTAAAGCGAAGATTGTTTTTGAAATGAATGGTCTGGCGAGAGGGTCTCTTAAATGCATGTTCACAGATGAGAAAGGGCTCTAAAGGGCGCAAGAAGTGAGCCTTAAAGTGGTTATAAACCCTCCCGTTTTTTTGCCTATATCTACTGCTATCAAGCAGTAGAAGGCAAAAAGTAAAAAACAAAAAACCCTTTAACAGCGCTTAACACTTACCTTGTTTCGACTGCGCGCTCCCGTCCGAGAAAACGAAACTGCTCCGGCGGCCTCAAAGCATCTCGAGGCGGGCGCATGCGCAGTTCGGACACAAGGTAAGTCTATGGACGTGTGCACCCGCATGCAGACACCGCTGTATCAAAAGTGCCTGCTAATTGAAGGAGCAGCAGCTTTTACAAAAGTGGATGATACAATAGCTGCTCTTTTCCTTACTTTATGATTGGGATGCAATTAAAGCACAATAGAAAACCCTTTCCAATGTTCACTTAGCAGTGTGTAGACATGTCAGGAGCTGTTGGAGTGGAAACAGTACACAGTACACCCAGGTGACGATTCGTTTTATCATTTTCAATAAAACCTTCCACTAGTTATGTACCTTTGCTCCTGGGCATGCTTAGTATCTCTAATACCTTGATATTTTTCATTGATTCAGATGGCTTGCGCGTGTTCCTGCTTGTGCTTATACTATATAGCAGTTGTAAAGGACACCTCAATGTGAGACGCCAACATTCCAGTTTTCCTAGAGCAGGACACCATGTAATTCTCTAATTAATCTTACTACAGTAGCTCAGGCTGCTCCCTAAATATAGATCAGACAGTGACGAAGATTTCTATTTGCTTCCTATTTGCAGATTATGTAATTCTTTTTTTGTCAGAAATTGTTATTGGGTGTAACCAGTATGCGTCACTCAATACAGATGCTGTAGATAAATTACAGACAGATAAATATCAAACTGCATTAAACTGTATCCATCCATAGATGTTATTTCAGGATCTTATTTTAGGTTTCACGATCACTGTATATTTAGCATTTATTAGTGCTGTATGGTGCTGGTTGGAATAAATTCATTGTCCTACAAATATCTTTTTGCAGAAGTAGCTCCTTCAATATTCGCCAGTTTTGAGATTTAAAAAAATAAATTTCCTTCTTTAATCCTTCAGGTACCTGCTTCAACCAAGAGACAATGGCAAATCGGGAAAGCCAGAGGATCTGGGGTCATTAAGGTTAAATGTGGTTTACACAGAAGATCATGTGTTTTCTAGTGAATACTACAACCCCCTCCGAGACCTTTTGTTAAAATCTGGTGATGTTGAGGTAAGATAGATTTTAATTGTAGATAGATTGATAGATTTGATATTGATAGATAGATAGATAGATTGATATTTTTAATTGATAGATTTCTATGTGTAAAGGAGCATGGGGTGAAATAAGGTGAATTTGGAACATGAGTGATCTATACCAACAACTTTTTAAAATTGTTATTCCTATTGAAAAATTGTCCATTGTACGCTAGCAGAGCTGTGCTCCCTGCCTTTCACTGGTATTCCACTGTCATGTGGCGTTGTCTCTATACTCTTCAGAGAAACAGAAAACTGTCCAAACGTTCCAGCATGCCTTTTTTATTTTGCCTGGCAATGGAACTTCATATTTATATGTCAACACCATTAAAGCTCAACTCCGAAAAGGAAATGAAAACAACTCCATGAGTGTAGTGATGGAAACAGAAAGTGCATTCAAAGAAGCACATACAGCAATAAGAGTACCTTGATGCTTAACCTTTTGTAGCGCAAACCACACCAACATTCTTGGACTTTATTTTCTCATAAGGATAGCTGAAGTAACGTGTATATACAGACATGGACACATTTGTTGCTACCCTAGAACTCATTGAAACAATGCTTTATTCCTCCTGAAAAATGATGAAATGAAAAACAATTGTCTCTTGTATACTTGCATGTCTTTGGTATGTTATAGAAGAAAGCAAAGAAAGTGTGAAAAGAGATAAATTATTTCTTATTCTGCAAATAATTTCTAAAATGGCCTGGGCAGATTTGTTAGTACCCCAAGAAAAGGTTATATATAACTGGATCATAGTGATGTTTCAAACTAAGTGTAGTCACTCTGCTGTTTGGTATCATCCTGTGTACTACAGTCAACACAGAGGACGTAAAGGAGAGATTTGTCAAACAAAAATTTGACCAGCATGGTAGAAGTTTTATCCATCTCTAAGTAGCCTAATATTCCTGTGACTACTGTTAAGAAGTTTAGTGTCCATGGAAGTGTAGGATGTCGCCATAAGAGGAAAACCAACCCCAGTTTGAACAGAAGGATAATGACAAAGATAGACAAAAAGGAAAAATAAAAACTTCCAAAGAGATACAAGCTGAACTTCAAGGTCATGGTACATCAGTACCTTTCGTCTGATCGCACCATTCGTCACTTTTGGAATGGCAGTGGGCTCAAAGGAAGGAGGCCCAGGAGATTGAAAGAAAAACAAAAATACAGACTGGAATGTGCTTATTGACAAGCTGCAGTGCTCCTGGAAGAATGTCCTTTGGACAAATGATAAAAGATAGAAATCACCAGCACTCAGTAGATGATGTTCAAAAAACAATAACGTCCATTTATTCGGACCAAACGTCACACATGTCACAGTATCCAACGTTTCGGGGCCACGCAAGGTCCCTTCATCAGGGCGGAAATGTGATGCACTTTGGACAGATGAGACAAAAGGAGCATTTTGGTATTTTTGACGTTTTCAAAGAAAAGAATGCTGTACTTACTGTGCAACATGTAGGGGGCTTGATTGCTGCATCTGGCACTGGGTGCCTTGAAACGGTGCAGGGCACACTAAAATCTCAAGACTATAAAAGAATTCTGGAGCGAAACATACTGCCCAGTGTCTGAAAGCTCTGTCTCAGTCACAGATTATGGGTCTTCTAACAGGGTAATGACCCAAAACACTGTTAAAAGTGCCCAACAGTGACTAAGAAGAAAACATTGAACTACTCTGAAGTGGTTTTCTTTAAGCCCTGATCTGGATCCTATCGAACAATTTTGGAAAGAACTGAAACATGCAGTCTTGAGAAGGCACCATTCAAACCTTAGACAGCTGAAGCAGTTTGCTCAAGAAGAGTGGGTCGAACTAGCTGTTGGCAGATGCAGAAGTCTTATTAAGAGCAACAGATTTTGCTTGTTGATGGTCGCCTCTCAAGGCTGCGCAACACTGGTCTACAAGGAGAAAGCATCGGAAATGAAAGTAGCTACACTTTACCAGAATTGGGTCACAGATTAAGTCCTGAGTATTAATTGGCTCCAGTTTTCAAGATACACCTTCAGGTCAAATTTACATCAAAATATTTCAAGATTACGAGGGGGATGTGCGATTATGCTCCATAACATTTCTGAAAAATGTGATATAGCAATGAGAATGGTTCCACACCAATCATTATACATTTATCTTTTTATTGATACCAATAACATAACTTTCCATTCATTTATTGTTTTTTCATGTAACATTCTCATGCTTTTTGCATACCATTGGGACTGCGAAAGGCATGGACTTTTTCTTCTTGTTTAGCCAATGAAGCAGATAAGTTGCACATGTAATGCAACAATAATGAGGGGCCCAACTCTTGTCCTGATCCCCTATTTTGCATCCAAAATATAGGTGGTATGCCTTTTTTACTACTGCTATCATACTGCACTTTTGAGATGCAAATGCAAAAGTTATCTGCATTGTTTACACAGTTTCGGGGCATCTTGGCATCTGGGGGAAAATATCATGCAACTGTTCATTGGAAATGTTAGGCAATTACAATTTCACAAGCCACCAGATGTTACTGTATGATGCGTAGATCTGACCAAGACAAATGTTCCTTGCAATAAAAGAACAATAAATTACAGTTAGATAATAATCTTTAGTCTCAAAGTGAAGATAAATGTATACACTTCCATGTGGTACCATTTTCATTGATCTATCATACTTTATCGAGATGTTATGAGGCATCATGATCATCAGACACCTCCGTCCCTTGTAGGCAAATATACTCGCCTGTGTATAAATCTTTATTGTGAAATATCTTGAAAACTTTAGCCAACCAGCACTTTTTTTCTAATACATCTAATCAAATTATGTAAGAATTAACACATTTTATCTCAGAGGCCGATAATTTCCCAAACTTTGTAGAAATTATCTACATTATCTCAATTTTTTATTTTAAAAAATGGCATTTTTGTCCATGCCATTTGCATTTGTTTTTTTACTTGTTGAATCAAATGTTAACTACATTAAAGGTGTTAAAAAAAATTCACACTCGTTTCCTATACTGGGGCAACCCTGCTGTCTGCATTTCTTAGCTGTAAAATAGTAACCATCAGCCATTACAATTGAATCCAGCCAATGGAATTTTTTTCCCAGGAAGACTCAGCCAGAAGGTGTCTGGATCCCTTTTCTTTTTTTATCACAAAACAAAGCTACTATATATTTGATTGACAGCCTTGATGAACCATACTCGAATGTCAACCCAATGCAGTTTGTAGTCTTTTTCACCTCTTTCTCCATTTGTTTCTATATTTACAATACTGTGCATACTGGTTTATTCAAATGCGTGCTTGAACTTTTTACATTCACATGCATGTGTTTATTGTTAAAGTGCATAGATAAACAATATATAAAGAAAACTTTATTGTTTAAATAGAACGGGCAAACGTTTTCTGATATATTTGTGTGAGCATTTTTCTCAGAACAGCTGAACAATGCTTTTTAGTACTTCAATGACTGTTTTTTCTCCTAAATGTGTAAGAAATAGGGTGTTGGCTGTCTTCTTCTGACCCTATATCCGCTAAAAGGTGACTATTGTGGTTTCTAAACTGATTGAATCTTGTGATGAGCAGGAAAAGAAACAGTTACATCTTCATGTGTGAAATTGACACACCCTGGTCTTCCTTAACAAAAAAAACAAAAAAAAGTGGTTAAGGAAACAAATGATGATGTATTTTGTCATAGTGCTGGTATTAGTTTACTACAACATGCCACTTTATTGGAATAATGCCAAGTGAAGATTAAAACAAAAAATGGCTCTTGTACTGAGACAGTAGGATTCATTTACTAAAGGAGTTAGTAAGGTCATGTAGTCATGTGTGAAATAAATGTTTTTGTTACTTTCCCTTGATTGGGTATTCAAAGTCAACCTAGCTTAGCTGTATTTACTCCTTTAGTAACTCAACCCCTTGGACTAGGGTTGCTCTCACACTGCAAGGGTTAAGTGCTCGCTTTCATCTAGGGACAAAAATAAAAATGTTAGACTCACCTGAACCTCACAGTCAGCTTGCTGCTAGACTGGTCCCCACAGCCTCTCTCGCCCTCTACTCCACCGGTCTAAGGTCCTGTGAATCATCACGTCCTGTAAAGTGTATAGGATGTGAGGATGCCGAGGGACATTCAATCGCTGGAGCGGAGTACATCGGCTGTAGGGACCGGTCTAACAGCCACCCAGCTGTGAGATTCAGGTGAGTACAACTTTTTTTGCCTTTTTCCCTAGAAGAAAATGAGCACTTAACCCTTGCAGTGGGTAGCCCCACTTGGGTTAAAAATATAATTCTGCCCGGCGTTCTTCTTTAAATACTGCAGTTCACCAACTGCAGTACATATCTGCTATGTTGGGCTGTGGGCATGTAGTTATCATCTGGCCCTGATTAGAGCTTGTCTCATAGGAACTATATCAGGAAACTAAACCCTGTTAGCCAAAATCTCCTTGCTCTAAAATAAAGTGACACAGAAAGTGTACATGTGACCCTAACCTAATAAATGTTCTAGCAGTCTCCCAGACAATGTGTAGCTTTGTTCATACGTTCATGTTGAGTTAGTATAATCTAATTTACATTTGCTGCTTATGTCATCTGTGTCGTCTTTAGTTTTAATTGATCTCCTTAGTTTGGCAGCAGTAGAAAGCAAAATCACATACTTGGGGGTCTCGATATAGGGCTTCCTGTTCCTGATATAACCATTTGTCTTCATCATGGTATAAAAATGTTTTTCAGAAACTTTAAAAGAGACCTCTACCTAAGGCTCTCACTATTTGCAGAAGAGTAAAACTATATTTAGCATTGCAGCCAAGTCTGTTTGTGCTAATTAGGGATGCACCGATACCGTTTTTTCGGTATTGAGTACGATTACCGATATTTATCTTTCCGTACTTGCCGATACCGAGTACCAGTACCAGTACTTCCACTAGCATGGAGCCAGCTTCCTGGGCAATCAGGAAGCCGGGCGGCATGTCATTACTCGCGGCCTGGCTTCTTCATTGCCAGAGAAGCCAGCTCCATGCTGCTTGTCCGACTCCATGCTGATCGGTTCATCCCTAGTGCTAATGATGTAGCCTTACACATTGGCACATTTGTCACAAACGCGTTCCTTCACACCAGTGGTTCTCAACCTTTCTAGGGCCGGGATCCCTTGGTAACATTTGCCAAGTTGTGGTGACCCCCAACTGAGCACTGGACTCAGGATTTTGTAACACATTGGACTCAGGACTTAGTAACTACAAAAATTTAAAAACTCTCCCTGGCGCCCCGGGAGCCCCCCTGCTCCCGGCCCCCCAGGAGAGAAGCACTGCTGTGTCTTTTTTTCCTTATTCTGACACGAGCGATCTCAGAATAGAGGAAAAAAAAAAAAGAATTGTCCCATTCAAAAGCATTTTCGGCTTTCAGCACGGCTCAGCGCTCGACTGAGCCGCTCGACCGTGATCGGGAGCTGTACGGGCTATTGTGAATAGCCCGTACAGCACCCCCTTGGTTCTCCTGAACCGAAGGGGTCCTGGTGCCGAAGCTAGCCGAAGGATCGGCCGAAGCTACAGCCAGATCCTACGGCAGCTTTGTGAATAGACCCCTTAGTAACGCACTGGACTCAGGACTTAGTAACGCACTGGACTCAGGACTTAGTAACGCACTGGACTCAGAACTTAGTAATGCACTGGACTTAGAACTTAGTAACGCACTGGACTCTGGACTTAGTAACGCACTGAAGAAATTCTGAAAGATCTTTTTTTCCCCTGAGACTGGCATATATGAGTACTTTGTTGAAACTTGCTATTTTTGGAGCAGATTTAGATTATGACAACTTCCGAGCATAGAAATTTAGAAATGTCAGGTTAGCATTTACCACATGTGTGTATGTGTTTATTTTGGCAGTTGTGTAAATGTAACATCTTTGTATATGTGTTCTGTTTTAAATAGGAGCATTAACAATTTAAACAGGAAAACGTGCTTGACCCTGTCATGTAATGTCAACTGTGTGACCTAATGACGTGATAGTCACAAACTGTGAATGTTCTAATCTGTGATATCTCCTCTCCCCAGCCTGTTTCAGCATCTGCTGCACATGTGTTGGGTGAAGTGTGCAGAGAAAAACAGGAAGCTGCAATACCTCTGGTGCGACTCTTTTTACATTATGTGAAGATTGTGCCATTCATCAGCGCAATAGCAAATGCTGAAGTGAAGAGAACGCAGTGAGTGTCCACTTTGTTTTCTGTAGAATTAAAGAACCTTGAATGTTAACACCTAACTAAATATGTGGCAACTCTGATACATCTTTTAAGTGCACCTGCCACTTTGTTGCAGATCATATGCTAAAAAATAGACATGTGTGATTTTTTCGGAAAGATCCGTTATCCGGACGAATTTTTGGAAATTCGTACATTCGGATGCATCCGAATTTCCAAATGACAGAAATAACGAATGCAAACAAATACAGAATGTAAGCAAAATTTTACCAAAAATTGCGGATGCATCCGAATTTCTATCCCGAATGCAGTTTTATTGTGTTAAGCATCAACTTTCCCAAAAAAATAAAAAATTTGTTAACGGTAGTATGTACGAAGTTTAGTTATGAACAAATTTTCGGTGCAGCAAAGTGACATTAGACAAAAGAAAAACTTTTTTTTTTTTAGAAGAGAAAAAAAAAGGTGTGAAGTTCCCCCCCCAATTTATACCAGAACCTTTAAGTCTGTTAGGAATGTTAGGAGGGACCCCCGAAGTTAAAAATAAAGTAAATGTAAAAAAAAAAACACCACACATTTTGAAAAGGTCCTTTAATTGGAAAAAAAAACAGCCAGTTTTGACAATTCCTTTAAATAAAAAATAAAATGGATCCATCAATGTAATCCAGCGCCAATCACAATGAACGACGCCCGCTGCCTCGCCGAACCCAACGAAGACTTGCCGCTAAATGACCCCTGCGGCCAGAATGTAAACAAATGGTAGAGCAAGCTGTGACGTCACAGAGCTTGTTCTGCCCATTTGACATTCTGAGCTGTCATAGAACACAATAGCATGCTATTTGTGAGCTCCCGAATGCCATTCGGGTCTACTATTCCTACGACACCTTAGCTCCCAGACCCAAATGGCATTCTCCCGAATGCAATTGTGTTCTATGGCAGCTCAGAATGTCAAATGCGCGGAGCAAGCCCTGTGATGTCACGGCTCGCCCCACCCATTTGTTTACATTCTGGCCGGAGCTGTCATTTTGTGGCGAGTCTTCGTCGGGTTCGGATGGGTCGGCATG